GCTAAGTACAGCTGGCGCGTGGTGGCTAGCGAGGCCCCCCGGCTCTGGCAGTGCTTCTTGGCTCCCTGGGCCGTCAGCCGCCCGGGCGTGGAGACGTAGAACACTTTCCCTGCAAGGGGAAGGAAAGCCCAGTGACACAAGGTGCTCGCCATTCGCCCAGCCCCACGTGGGTCGCTGCCACGGGGCAGCCACCTCTGGGGTGGAGCATGGCCCCAGCGGAACAGCTGGTGTGATCGAGCCACCGACTTCACTAGAGTGATGCACCTGCTGAGGAGCTGAGCCTCTTGCGTTCAGTAGGACACGGGTGAGGCGTGGCAGGGTCACACCGGCGTCACCAAATGCCAGGGGTATGTGGGTGTGGGTGGGTGTGTGGGTCTGGGATGCAGCTGCAGCCTCCCTGAGCCGCGCCACTACTCAAGGTCACCGGAAAGGCTGCAGGTGCCAAGAAGCAATCAATTCTCCCTGGCTCCGGCTGCTGCCATGGCCATGAAATCAGCCTCCAGCAGCCTGGGAAGGAACACGTTTTTCAGGCCTTCATTGCTGAAGCACTAAGGTGCAGCCAGGTGCACCGTGCTCCTCGGCATCTCACCGTGCCCGGCGTGCGGCCGTTGGCCCATGGCCAACCCCCCCGGAGCTGCCCGCCAAGAAGCAATCAATTCTCCCTGGCTCCGGCTGCTGCCATGGCCATGAAATCAGCCTCCAGCAGCCTGGGAAGGAACACGTTTTTCAGGCCTTCATTGCTGAAGCACTAAGGTGCAGCCAGGTGCACCGTGCTCCTCGGCATCTCACCGTGCCCGGCGTGCGGCCGTTGGCCCATGGCCAACCCCCCCGGAGCTGCCCGCCATGGAACGGCCCTTGCGGAGCCTTTTCTGGCATCTCCGACAAGTCATGGGGAAGGGCTTGCCTTGGAGCTCCCTGGCGTAGCAATACACGTCGTAGGCTTCGCTGGCTTCCCGCACCCCGTAGCTGCGGATGCCCGGGAGGCTGCTGCGGTCTCCATAGCAGCCAGGCCTGGAGAGCGTGATGGGGTACCTGGGGAGACAAGGCAGAGGCCAGTGGTCACAGGGCTGGATCCACCCCTGCCCTGCCTGCCGTGGGAGCTTCAGGGAGCACCTGGATGAATGCCCTCTCCACGCTGCGCAGCTGGAAAGAGGGGGAAGGAGGGTGGCCGCTTCCGGCATTTCTACCACTGCCTGCGGGGAGCCAGGGAGGGGGGGTTTCTACAGGGGGCCCTTTGACAGCTGAAAGCCCAGCCCCCGCTCTCCGAATCTGCGATGGATCCAGCTGCTTGTGGCGCACGTTCCTCCCGTGGAGAATCACGCGCCGTGGGGAGCCGTGCCGGCTTCAAGCCGCTGTCGCTTTGATTGCGCTCAAAAGCGGAGAGCGTCTGCCGGCAGCTTTGGGACCAACGGTGGAGAGGGACAATCCCTTTCATAGAGGAGAGCTGGAGGGGCTGGGAGGCACGGGGGGATGGAGACAGGCTGAGGGAGAGGTGGAGAGGGACACGGGGAGCCGGATGGGGGCATAGATAGGAGAGGGAAGGGCAGATCCGTGAAGAACTGCCCCCAGTGGAAAGCTGTCTGGTAACAGCAGAAATGCAGTCTCTAAGCACTGGGCTGGGATTAACCACCCTCCCCCATGCTTAAGCTGGTCAGTGTCACTCTCCCCATTTTGCAGAAGGGGAAACTGAGGCATTGTGCAGGGACACGACTCACTCCGGGTGACCTCGTGAGTCAGCGACCAATCAGTGTGCGTGGGAAAGGCCTGTATGTGGAAAGGCACCGGAGCGCAGAAGGTACCAACTCCCCTTGCCTGGTGTGCAGACACAAAGGTGGCCTTTGCACGCTTGTTTTGCACGTACAAGCCCCTGCCTGGGCACCAGCTTGGGGCAGATTTGCCAGGCCCAGGTTTGCAGCTGCTGTCTGAGCAGAGAGCTCCTGGGCTGCTGCACAGCTGGGTGGGGATGGGGTTAGGGGAGCAGGGCTGCAGGGTCCCCAAAGGAGGGACACCACCTCGCTTCAGCGCCCAGGTGTCCAGTGCCGCCTGGTGTGGTGCAAGACGCAGGAACAAGGCAGCTGCTTTGCGGCGCCATCCCCTCGTGTCACCCCCCCCCATCACTGGGTGGCCCCCAGGGCTCCCCCCGAGCTGTGTCCCACCAGGGCCCAGGGGCTCCCCGGGTTACCGGACAGTCTGGTCGGCCAGCCAGCCGGCATCGCAATTGTCGTAGCCGTCTTCGAAGGCGGCCTGCAGG